TAGCCCCCCGCCCCCAGCCCAGACCCCAGGCCTGTCTCCCCATGCCCCGCTGGCCTCCTGGACCCCCAGGGGGGTTCTCCGTGCCCCGCTCCCAGGCCGTGCCTCCAGCCGCAGGCCTCTGGGCCCAGCTGCTCACGGCCACTCCCCACCACTCCCTGTGGGACTGATCCAGGCCAGAGCAGCAGGGTGCGGGACTTTGGTCCAGCGGTCTGGCCCCGGGCAGGCCCGTTTCCCAGGAAGGGCCTGGGTGGAGCTCCTCTGCCCTGAGCTGATCTTCTCCGGGCCTCCAGGTGAGATCCTGGTGCAGATATCAGACACCCAGCGGCACTTGAACTCTGACCTGAAGCTGGTGGTGAGTACCTGACCCCCTGGCCTGGTGGTGTCAGTCGGAACATCAGATGTCACCCGGTTCCAGGGAGGAGGGACTGAACCTTCCCAGAGGCCTTCGGGCCCTCAGGGTGGCAACCCTACCTGTCGGCCCTGAGCTCCTTCTCCTGCTGGGTCTGCACAGGTGCCCAGCCTGGGGTAGGCACCCGGCCGGGGGTAGGTGCCCTTTCTGGCTCCACGCTGTGGAGGAGGAGCCGGGTTCAGAGGCCAGTCACTAGCATGACCAGAGTGAGTGCAGGAAGGACCCCAACCCCACGGCCCACTCTCCCAAGAACAGCCAGTGGTGCTCACGGGAAACCTCCCACCACACCCCACTGAACAGTCTCCTCAGGGGCATTCCCGCCCTGCTGACCCGGGGGCCCCTCATGACACCCCCCATCACAGCCCAGTCCCCCCAAAGAGCTGCCCCCACAGACACAGCCTGTTGTTCCCACCTGCAGGCCGCTCTCTCAGCCCGCAACCCCCAACCCCCGCACCTTGCCCCTCCTCCATGAACCTGCAGGGATCCCCCACAGGTTCCGGTGCTCCCCTGGGGTCCGCAGAACTTCTGCCTGCTCCTGGCAGCGCCACTAAGAAAGTGCCCCTGGGTGGCCAGAGCTCCGGCCGAGGCCCAGCTCCGCCTCTCACAGGCCTGAGGTTGTGGCCAAGTTGCTTCATCTCTCTGTGACTCAGTTTACCTGCCTATGAAATCGAGACAGTCCTGGGACAGTTTTGTAACATTCTTGTGAGAATTAAGGGGTGGATAAGTAGAGCCGCTTTCCTGGGCGCCTATAGCTCCCCACTCAGCTTGACTGTGGTCACTAGACGCAGACCCAGCACCCCACCTACTCTGCTAAGGTGGAGCTCTGCACCCTGCACCTCCCCCAGGCCAGGCCCTGCACCCTGCACCTGCCCCAGGCCAGGCCCTGCACCCCGTACCTCCCCCAGGCCAGACTCTGCACCCCATACCTCCCCCAGGTCAGACTCTGCACCCGCACCTCCCCCAGGCCAGACTCTGCACCCCGCACCTCCCCCAGGCCAGGCTCTGCACCCCGCACCTCCCCCAGGCCAGGCTCTGCACCCCGTACCTCCCCCAGGCCAGACTCTGCACCCCACACCTCCCCCAGGCCAGGCTCTGCACCCCACACCTCCCCCAGGCCAGGCTCTGCACCCCACACCTCCCCCAGGCCAGGCTCTGCACCCCACACCTGCCCCAGGCCAGACTCTGCACCCCGCACCTGCCCCAGGCCAGACTCTGCACCCCATACCTCCCCCAGGCCAGACTCTGCACCCCGCACCTGCCCCA